GCCCGGTAATACAAGCAACGAACTAAGTTGCGTTTGTACCTCAGAGGGACAAAGCTCGAAAAGTGTGTGTCTTGTCCAACTCATGTAGCTTTGTGGAAAACACTACGCTCAAGTGATCCGTCCTCGCGCCTCCTCAATAAAACGTCCAGCAAAACCAGCTTACCTACATTTTCCATTTCACTATTGAACTTCATTGAGGGATGTGCACTGTTGAACTGGTCGAGCACATGGTTGACATCAATGCGAGAATCACAGATGATGAACGTGTCATCCATATACCTCCAATAAGAATCAAATGAGGCAATAACCCCTTAGATGGGACCACGCTCAAGCTTAGCGAAAAAGACGTCGGCAAGGAGAGGTCATAGGGGGGAACCCATCGCCACGCTGTCGATTTGCCTGTACTAGAATCCGTCAAACAAGAATTATTTGTTATAGGTACATCGCAAATTGACTTCCTGAGCTTAGGCACTGGAATGCCAACCTTTAGGTTCCTTTCCGGTATATACTCGCAGATGAAATGAACAGTTATCAGCAATAGGGCCTTTGTGAAAAACGATTCTACATCAAAAGAAAGCATCAGCTTACCATTTAAATTCCGGTCTTTAACCTTATCAACGAATTCGAACGAATCCTTCAAATAATATATAGTGAGCTCCTTACGTACTGATTCCAGTAATTGCACAATCCATTTCCCAACTAACTGGTGTGCAGAAGCGGACATGACAATTATCGGACGTAGAGGGACATGTGGATTGTGTACTTTAGGCAAGCCGTAGAGCCCAGGAGGTTGGGAGCCAACAGGAGTTATTGCATCATTTGATTCTTATTGGAGGTATATGGATGACACGTTCATCATCTGTGATTCTCGCATTGATGTCAACCATGTGCTCGACCAGTTCAACAGTGCACATCCCTCAATGAAGTTCAATAGTGAAATGGAAAATGTAGGTAAGCTGGTTTTGCTGGACGTTTTATTGAGGAGGCGCGAGGATGGATCACTTGAGCGTAGGGTTTTCCACAAAGCTACATGAGTTGGACAGGACACACATTTTTCGAGCTTCGTCCTTCTGAAGTACAAACGCAACTTAGTGCGTTGCTTGGATTGCTGGGCCACCAACATTTTGTAGTCCGGAAACTCTCGAGGGTGAGAAGGACCGAATTGTGAAAACACTTCTTTCGGATGGATACCCTGAGCCTTTCATCAAAAAGCACGCCATGACCCGTGAGCGCGTTAAGCCTGTAGCAACGGTTCCGAAGAAGGATGTGTTTCCCTCTGTTCCTTTTAAGGGAGACATCGCCTTCGATCTCCTGAACAAGAGAGTTTCTAATGTCGTAGCAAGGACCTACCCGGCCGCCCACCGGCACGTAGTTGCGGAGACCGCTCCCTTCATAGATCAACGTCTTAAAGGCAGGCTGCCAGTGTCGTCCGAATCGTACATTGTTTACCAATTTACTTGCACCTGTGGTGCCAAGTACCTCGGACATACGACCAGGCGTCTCTCGGTACGGATGGCTGAGCATTGTCCAGCGTCACTGCGGAGAGGCACGCTCAGAAGTATTAACAGCTCGAGCATGGAACATCTGATTCTAAGTGGGCATCAGATTTTGACCAAAGATGCCTTCAACGTCTATTATGCCGAACCGAGTCGATATCCGAAAAGGTTAAAGAAACTCCTCTTGCAGACGGCTGAAGCCATCGCGATTCGGCTAACACAACCAGAACTATGCAAGCATGGGTGCTTGTCTAACCCTTGACTTTGCCATGGCCCTGATGATAAGTCTCCCCCGGAGTATTACGCGTAACCGGGTGCTATTTATTGATGTAATTAACTAATTTTTTATATTGTTAGTATTTTTGCTTCTTCTGTTTACACCAGTTATTTTGCGGTCGGTTAGCCCATCACGCTGTCACCTGATTAAATCGATCTGAGCATCGAACGAACATGATAAATCTGTCCAAACCGTCCCATCCGTTCTCATTGTTGCTTTCACAAGTTGACTGTTGCATTTAGCAGTCCTGCAGCTGTAATTGCCTGAGGTGAACTACCGAAAAGAGATCTCTTTGCAACACTGTGTTTTACTTTTCCATGGGCGTTATCTATGATCAAAGTTAAATTTTCTGATGAATTTTTTCTTCGTTATGCCGAGGATGGCAGACAGACCTTACCCCAATGTACGTCATTGTTTAAACCTGAGGAGAACTTAATCGAAAACAATTGTTCTCTTACAGCTTCGTGTTTTTTTCTCTTTGTGAACTTCACATAATAATTTGCCAATGAACGTGATATATGGTGCTAGTTCTCCCTCTTACTTGGGACTTTAGATCATAGACAACCCATTAAGACAGGTTTCTCAACTGATGAACGAGTATTCTGTCCCAGGTACACACAAAATTTTGCAGGCTAGTGGCTGTAAAACCGTTTTACGCTTCAAAAATATCATAAAACCATTTTCCTTCAAAAATTTTAGAGCAAGAACGATGAATATTTCTGCGGAATAATGTGAATTGAGGATATTTTGTTTATTCTCTTCAGCCGCTTACATACAATGGGTAAAAATTTCATACGGTTGGGAGTTATAGGTTAATACCAGAAAGCGATGGTTAGTTGTGTTAGCTAGCCTGTATTACCTCACCAAAGCAAAGCAAGATTGACCACAAACTCAAGTTGTTTACATAGGTTAGGCTTCAAACGTCGAGTTACGCGAATTAAGCCTCACACTCCAAATCAATCCATCATGCAAGGGAATGTTAAGAGCATTTGAGCCCATGTTGGTTCCACTGCGCAAACTCATTGTTTGGACTAGTAAGAAATTTACCAGAACGTTAGGATGGAAGTGTCACACTCCTTTAACCAACGGAACACAGTTGGACTAATACGAGGGCAGAGCAATAAGTTTGCTGGTAAACAGTACACAGAATAGGTGCCGATGACCCGCTAGGAAAACTGTGAACTGTAGTTCATTCTGAACATTGTTCAATAATCTCAACTCGCAGAACAATATATCAGCAGCCCAGCACAGCCCACCAGTCATAAGGGTCGTTACATCCTGACTGGAAGCCGATGTCGCGGGACGGCGATGATAGTCTATAACTACGAAACGGGTTTAAAGAAGCACCGGAGTGTTGCTGGATTACGTGCTGCGTTTGATGACGACCCACCTTCAAGAACCAGCGTGTTCGAGTGGTTTGCGGAATTCACGCGTAACTGGTGGTCGCTGGATGATGTGGCACGATGTGGTCGACCTTTGGAGGCCACCACCGCGAAGAACAGTATTGCTGAGCGAGCGATACTGGAGGAGGACGTGCGGGGGACTGTGGTACAGCTGGGAATATCCATCGGGATCAATCCACACCACCCTACATGATAACGTCGGCCTCAGAAGGTTTACGCACGCTTGGTACCCAATCAGCTCAGTGGGGAGCAGAAAGCAGCCCGGATGAATTGGCCCTGCACCATGCTTGCCAGATTTGATGGTGGATGTTCCGATACAGTTCGGGAGATCCTCAGTGGTGATGTGACCTGGGTGTACATTTTCGACCCAGTGACCAAACAACAATCGCCTTAGTAGACGACCGTTGGTGGGGCGTAGCCTCAGAAACTCCGGCATTAGCGCAGTGTGACCAAGCAGATTATGGCTGTGTTCGTAGCCAAGATCGGTCATGTGGCTACTGCATCACTCGTACGGCAACGTACAGTCACCGGAGACTGGTATATCACCCACGGTCTATCACATTGCTGGAAGCTGTAGCCAGGCGTCGTTCAATAACTCAAGCACGTGGGACTTTACTGCGCCATGACAACGCACTGCACGCGGGTCCCATGCCGTAGATTTTCTGACTAGAGAACGCATCCAGGAGGTTAACAACCCGACCTACAGTCAATACGTGGCTTCGAGTGACACTTCGTGTTCCAAAATGTCAAGCGTATGATGCGTGGAATGAGCTACGAGTCTCCAGAAGCTGCAGTAAATTTCTTCGTTAAGCTGCTTGAAGGGTTACCCCCTTCGGCATGGTCTAATTGCTTTTCCAAATGGTTTGATCGCGTGGAACTGTGCATGGACGCTGGTGGAGAGTACTTTGAGAAAAGGTAATACTTTTTTGTTGTAGAAAACTAAAATGTCGTGCGTCCGAAAACTTATTGCTCTGCCTTCCTATCTCTGGCGTAGCTGTAATTGTACACGTCAGAACATTTAACCCCGAAAGAAGACCAGCAATGCCCCTGTGGTATATTAGAATATTCTTATGTAAATAAGCTATTTAATTTTCGAGTATGATGAAAGAGGGATGTGTTCAATTATGCTATTTTCAGACTTACTAACTGAACTTCTGTTGATTCCTTTACTGGTAGCATTTAACTTCTATATGGACATTGAAGGTAAAGCTGTGTTGTTGAGTAAGTTTCCTTTGGTCTACTCGTACCTCCTTCAACACACACACACTGTATGTAGGTAGGGAATAAGTAGCTAAAGCTGCTTGAAATACATCCCTTGTCAGTAATAATAACCAGACAACGTGGTGCGCCTGTCTGGCTCAGTCAGATCGGTGGTAAACCCAATAGTTACGGATAGTAGGTGTCCATAAAACGAAAAGTTCCAACACTGCTTAGACCGCCAATGTGGACAACACGGTTACCCATGGCTAGCTGATAGTTTTATTGGGAAAATTCCGATGTCGCTCGCATCCAACAAGCACACGACAATCGACGTTTCTTCTTCGCTATAATTACATGTTTATGTGTTGGACCATCTGTCTTGAGCTACCGCATTTCCACTCAACACCGCATTTTGTCAAACCACTGTACTTTGCAAAATGGAAGCCTTTTTGGTATGCGTTGCAGGTACCCGCTGAGACTTCGGCGTAATTAAATAATGGTGACACTCGAAGTATGAGGGCGCTACCGCAATGTCTACTACGAGTTGTAGACGACGATAATTTTGCTACGGTACGGTGTCAAATACGCCGTAATAAATAGTAGCTTTTTCTCACATTCACTTACAGGAAGCTCCGAAAATAACGGAATGTTGCGGGCCCACTCGACGGAGGTAAATAGAGTTTTGAGTATGAGATTATCACTTTGAGAGCCGCCCTGAACCTTTTGTCGGCCAGTTGTTTCTTCACCTGGCGGAACTTGAGAATGCATCTGGTGGACGAACTCCTTCGTGCGGGATTCCATTTGGACCGGATCATCTGGTGCTGATGAACAGGTGGACCACTCTGGAGCGGAACGTTTCCAGAACGCTGCTGCCGTGGTGTAGTGTCGCTGGGACAGTGGTTCGGCGCGCAACAACATTCTAACGAATTGAGCATAGAAGAGGGGTCCAGTTAATGTACCCAATGGGTTGAACGGGGATATTGAGCCAAGAAAACCGGCTCCATAAAACGGACTGTAAATTGCTGGTAGCTGGGGCAGACGACCTTGCTGAACTGCTGCAAAAAACCGGGAAAACGATAGGTGGAATGAAAAATATAAAATGTGTTGCTAGCCACCTTTGTTCTGCACTATGTAATTCAATAGCTATTCATCACTACATCACCATCATCATCATTATTCAGCAATACAACAAGGACTTTCAGAGTAGCAAATAATATAATAATAATAAATACGCAACATTTTCGCCAAATATGGTCTCGTGAAGTGTAGTATGGTTTTTTGTGATTACTGTACCACATAATAATCTGCCTACGTGGTGGAGGTCGTTCAGCTGCTTGCATCAAATGCGTGGCGTCATTTGTGCGAGGACAAGATTTGGTCGGGCCTACTCCCTGAGTATTTGTATCGTGACAATTATCCTCCATTGCGGAAGGTGTAACGGACGAAATCTCGATTATTTTGCTCACGAGATGGACTTCCCTTGTCGGGCGATAGCAACCAGATCACTGCGTGATGGATACGTCCTGGTTTGCATTTATCGAGTGGACAAATTCGAGGCCATTGACGGACGAGTAACGCCTGACAGCCATTAGTAACGCACTGACCCTGCCCGTGACCGGGACGACCACATTTCACTGAAATGTTGGGCCCAATCCCAACTGAGAGTGCGCTTCACAATCCAGTCACCGGCTGGCTAGCCAAAACGTTTCACGATCCATTCGCATTCGCCGTTACAGGTAGTGCTTACATGGTCAAGATAACTTACGGATCAGCACTCGCAGCAGACGGATATAAGTTACTTGTTCTAACCTCAACCCTGGTATTTATCTATTCACATAGATCACACAATGATGACACGAGACACTGGGCGCAGTTTTGTATGTGGTGGTCCGGCAGATATAGCCTATCAGAACAAATGTTAGCGAACAAGCTCGTTTTCAGTGGTTCCTCATCAGGCTAATATACTACAAATGAATGACATGAACGTAAACATCAGTTAAGAGTACAGGTTCAAAACCCAGATGGTCTGAGTGACCAAGCTAGGCGATTGGACCCACGGCGATCAACAGTTTGTTTGTGTGTGTGTGCGGCGTTGTTCACACTATGGGTCCGTGTTACAGGGGACCAGGGTAGAGTTAGTACCTGGACAAATTTCTCGTGTGAACATAGGTCAGAGTCATGAAGCCTAATGGCTATCGCCTCGGCCGTTGCCAGTAGACGACATCTAACCGCTCTTATGTGGTTTCTGGGTACGCGGTAGATGAGCTGGAACGCCTCATGCGCTCTGACTTAATGGCTCGAGTCGATCAGGTGTGTAGACACTGCGCTTGCCACTGACCTAGTGACGCCGCTATACATCCAAGCTGGACAGTGTTCCCTAGCTCTCTCGGACAGTCTCCTCGTAGTTCTTCCGATATATCTTGATCCACACGAACAAGAAAAAGAGTATACACAGAATGAAGTACTTGACCTTGGAATTCTGCCCTTAAATTGTTGATTCAGGGTCGGCACTGAGTAGAAGCTTAGCCGTAGGCTTGCTGTATAGTACGTTTGGGCGATTGCGGCAGAAAGCCTTCTAGACGTTGATTCAGCCATCCCGGGAAAAGCAAAATTCATGAGTTTGACACAAAGTATGATTAATTTTATCATTCTGTGTATTGCTTAGAGCTTCAGCAAATGTTACACTAGATCGATTGTGCACGGCTGGTTCCTTACTAAATTCAGTTGCATCCGAACCGCAAGAACGCCTCCGTAGACCGTAGAATGTTATCAATTTTAACGAACCTGATAGAATGAACCTTGACAGAGTAACAAATACCTTTTTAAAAGCATGCAATAAGGATGGCGTCTTCTGTCAATGCCTCAGACTGAGGAAAAAGGAAAACATGACCTCATGCTCAATACTCCTAAAGTTTCCAGACTATAGGAGTGCTTCAAAATTCGTACACAGTAACAGACTAGTTATCGCACAAATAAATTTCAAAAACCTTATAATCAAACACGATCAAACGCTTCTTCAAAGGCGACTAACCATGAAACAAACCCCCGCCTACCGAACACTCCATACTCCCATTATTAAAGCTAGTGCTGGTGCCATCATCAGTAATACGAATCTTACAAAATCAACTACGTCGTCTAAGATTGGAGATGAGTGGCATTCCGATCCTCAGCGGCCTCGTCAGAGGTCCTCAAGCAACGGTAGTGATGTATCCCTAGTTAAAATCGCCATCCAAGACGTCTGCCGATTACACCCCCAACTCCTTTGTCGCTTCTCCCAGTCACAAGCTTTTACAAAAGTTGACCGTAGCTGAATCTGCGACCTATCGAGAGCAAAACAAAACAGATCATCAAGTGGCCACCACGAAAAAATAGCTAAATCCGACCCTAATGCAGCAAGCTATGGCTTATCTCCGACTAACCGAGGAGTAGACAAAAACAGCAACAAAGATTCTCCCAGAATTTCTCCCAGAAACACCCAAAACTCAGCAGCTCTGAGGTGACAACCATAAGAACTTAGTGACATCCAGTTAGACCAACTGAGGAAATGCGTACATCCTCAGGCTTTTGCATGCAACATGATCTCTCCCGTTTAAGGGGCCATGTACCGCTTATCATTAAACGTACTAATCTATTTATTTATTTATTAGATGTCGGGATAAGTCGCAGACAGCCGGCCCAATAGTTACACACGTTACCTCTGACTACGCATCCAAATTCCTCAACTTCAAGCTGGCAAAATCCTTATGTGTGTGACACCGAAATAGCAAACAAAATGGTGGTAGTCTTCACGGAATTACATGCAGGAGAGTGCAACCACCATCCACCACAGGTCAAAACCCACCAGCCACCATCCCCTTTATTACCAAATTGGCAAAAATAAAATCCGAAAAAATGTTTTATAGACTTTAGCCTCACGGATGTAAGTCTTTCTTTAGACAATCGTAAACCACACATCCTCCCCCACCAACCCAGCCCTTATCAAGTTCTATGATGAAGCAGAGATTAGGCAAACTACTAGAGGATGTAGTCCACTCATTACAGCACGAATTAGAGCGCAGTGTGCTTTAGCTACCTCTCAACACACAGTTCGTACATATAATGACGAAGAAATAAACCTTGTTCACCTCTTCTATTCCAACTTAACAATGTCGTTCAAATCTGTCTGTATTAAACATTCTTGCTCATTTACCCAAATTAGGTATGCTTTCAGCACTTATGTTTATGAGATTCCACGATATTGATTTAATTAATGAAACTTGGTACACATACGAAATTAGTAATTCTCAGTTTAACATCTTAGGCTATAAACTTTTCTGCAAAGATCGCTCACACAAACGTGTTGGTGACTGTGCCATATACCTTCCACATAACCTGATTGCGATTCCCGCAGGTCGAACCGTGCTCAATGGTTTAGAAGATACACTATGGCTGATGATCCCATGTACGGATCTTCCAGCGGGTTGTATCTATCGACCGCCTCGAGGCACTCAATTTGAAACCCAAGAGCTAATCGATATGGTCAATGTTACCTCCAGCACCACCTACAAGTCGAAACTTATGTGCGGAGATTTCTACCTACCACATGTTTACTGGATATTGCACGTACTCAACAACACTGCGAGGATTGAGGAAATAATCTCATATATCCACTCCAATGGCTGGACCTGGCATGTTAGAGAGCCAACCAGAAGTGCCACGACCCTAGACATTGTACTCACGATGGAGATCCCGCTTGTCCATGTGATCATTGATAATCGTCTACCGGGTTGTGATCACAAAACGGTGCTCCGTGCTTTGACTATTGAGTAACCTAAACCACCAACCAAAGTCCTAACACTCATTCGCAAACTCCATCGTGTGGACTGGAACTCATTTAATGTCATTATCTGTACCATGAACTGGAACATGTTACTCCTAACTCATAATCCTACTGTCTCTACAAATGTGTTAGTTAACAATATTGCAATTGGTGTGGATCTGCTGGCACCTATCGTATGGAGGAATACCTATAAACATAGTAGTGAACTCAAGCTTCTATACAAAGTCACAATCAAACGGAAGAAATGTACATCAATATATCGCAAGGTCAACAGCTTCGCAACATTGCTACAGGTACACGAAGCTCTCCTACAGCTACAACAGCTAACCCAAACGGCCAAGATAAAGAAGAGTCGGGTACTTCGCAATCCCGAGAAAGTATGTACACTGATGCAACTATTCAAAAGTAGGAATCCTAAACTCCATCGAGACTGAAACGTTGGCCCTGGACTATGGTTCGATAACGCGCGACATCGTTTGCATATGCAAGGCTGTCAACACTAGGTTTGTCTCCTGCTTTGCCCTTAGCACTCAACTGGCTGGCTTGCCGAACTACCTCCTCGTGGTGCCAGCTGGGTGGTTCGGGTGTACCCCGTTCCAGCAAAGTGTTCGGCGACAATGTTCCACCTCCGTTGGGCATTGTATTCCAGCAATTGTGCTGACTTCATGGGGAGTATTGGGCCCCTATTTGTTAATCTACCAAACAAAGACGCATGAGCTGATCATTCAGTCAACGCCTCCCAGTGGGCGCGATTCCCTAAATTCGCCCCGCTGCCTTGCGGGTAGGTTATTTAGCCAAAGGCTCGGGGTGGAGTCCTCTAAGTCAACTCCCTACTTCGGCTTGGGCAACCGGGTAGTATCACACCCTCTCTCAAAACCATGGACTTCACTACAACGCGCTCATCAGCTACTGTTCCTGCTACTCACTTTCACACTACTCCATCACACGCCAATTGTTTGTTTGCTAACAATCCCCACTTTCGGTTACCCGATTCATCTGTTCAATAATCTGGCTGCGATTCCGGTTGCTCCGCAGATCAAGGAATTCAACCTATGGCTCTCCTTCGTCCCCGATCCTCGTTCCGTCTAGCGTGCTTCAACGTCCGGACACTCATGCAGATTGGACAGCAAGCCGGTCTAACGCGCACCCTAGATTCCCTAGACATTGATGTCTGCTGTCTTTCAGAAACCGGATTGCAAGATCCCAGAACTGTGCTTACATTGACATCGCCCACTG